GTGGCCATATTATCAGGTCACACAACTTTTAAACACCTTAGTATTGACTTTGAAGGCCCACTTTCTTCAAACTTTAGTAACAAGTACTTCGTGACAATCATTGACGAATGCACCCGAGACCCTTTTGCCTATAGTTGTACCGATATGTCCTCTTCCATTGTGAATCGTTGATTAAGACAAATGTTTTCACTGTTTGGTATGCTTGATTAAATTCACTCAGATCGCGGTCCTACATTCATGTCAACTGAACACAAGCAGTTTTTGTTCGATAAAGACGTTGTCACTAGTCACACTGCTGCCTAGAATCCAGTGTAATGGTCAGGTGGAACGACTTAACGAAAATATTTGGAAGACTACCTTCCTGGCTGTAAAATCACGAGGCTTGCCTGCCACACACTGGGAGGTTGTCTTTCTTGATGCTCTCCACGGTATCAGATCCCTGTTATGTACTAGTATCAACTGTACCCCACACGAACGTTTCATGCCGTTCACACGACGTTCAGCCAACTGTGTCCCCCAACCTACCTGGATTACTGCCTCTTTTAAAACGTAATGACCAAGTCTCCAAATATGACCCTCTGGTAAAGGAAGTAGATGGAACATGTATCTTGTACGCCCCTACGGCAAACACGAAACCGTATCCTTACGCTGCTCGGCTTCTAGAGGCAACGGCATAAAACCCGACACTTCCGACACGGAAGTGAAACCAGTGCATATCGCCAAACAAGAGGAACCTCACCAACACCACCAGTCTACCGTGAGATTCAGAAACTGATTTCTTGCCTATCAACGATGCCTCGTCATCCAATTCCAATGCAGACCCATGAAATCACTTGGATATTTTCATACAACAGCGCACTCACCCATATAATCTGCGCAGCAGAAGGACGTAAACTACCGCACGTAACTACCAGAGCTTCCATTTTTTCCACTCGTTCGCCGCGAAATTACACACTTAATCCAAGGCAGGGAGAGTGTCATAACTATGTGAACCATAACTTTCACAAATCATTAACTGGTGATTCTCACTTTATATTTTAAGCTCATGTACTACTCTCCATATCTCAACTCTCGCAACACATCTTGTGGTTGGTTTGTGAACTTCTACGGCATAACGGAGCTGATGAATCATATGGTTCAGATTCACATCTCCCAGTCGGATGAATAGTGTTGGAAACTGACACCTCCATGTCGTGAGACTTCTGCGAGACTTTTCATACTTTTCATCAGCGTCGGGTGACTGAACCAGTGCTCCTTGAATTTTTCAATCCAGCAGAACATTCTGTGGTCCATGTGAAATTGGGACTCCCCACTTTGTTCGGTCCATCATTACGTTTGATTCTTTCGACCTGCACTACCTGTCGGGGGTGTTCCTTCAAATCTGATGGCCAGATTCCATGAAATCAAAATGGGTATTGACGAGTCTGTCACCAAACCAATTTCGCCTTCCTTCTCACTTTGGTCCACTTGTATCCACAGCAGCTGATTGGATTTGCGTTCATGATCGAGCTTCTTTACCTTCAGGCAAGATCGAAACTCGGCTTTTGCTTTGCGTACCTTTATACTAGATCTTTGTAGGCTTTCGGGGTAGCTTCCTGATTTTGCAGTCTGATTACATCTCAACTGAATGGTCGAAGACGAGGACACAAGTGTATACTCCGGAACATGTCACAGGGTGCTCTGTATTGCAGTCCATGTCTTTAGTAATCTTCTGCCGTTGCTGTTCAATGATCTAATTCCACAAGGCCTGAGTATCCCCTTCCAGGTTTATGAGCTCTTTCCAATACGAATATTGAAACTATTCAGGAGAGAGGGTGAGCACTTGAAGATGCATATTCCACAGACGTCCTTTCCTCCTCTGAATAAGACAGTGGGGATGTGGGCGTTTAGCAATGTGGCCAGTCTTGCCGTTTACGACCAGAATAGGATGCTTATCATCTTCAAGTTCATATAAAATGGTCCAGTCACTATTTCCTAATTCATATGGTCTGTAAACACAAACCTGTACTGTTCACCAGCTTTCTTTAGTACACAGCAGAGACAAAACCAGAACCATCCTCATCCAAGAGAGTTCTCACCTTTAAGGTCCAAAAAAATAGAAGCATCATCCGTCTTTTTGACAGTCGGCATTATGTGATGCTTTTTGATTGCTGAAGTCGGACTGGACGTCCTTCGAGTATTACGTGACCCTAGGCAGTGGGAAGCCCATCTAACCCGGCAGCGCAGTACACAAATAAGAGAGTACCAAATTTGAATCCCGGGAACGCACACAATAGTACAAATGCGGATGGTGGAAAAGTGAAGATTTGGTTAGAAAAGCCACACACATACATTTAAGGTAACTCAGCGGCCAGCAGACGTTCGACGCCACCGAGTCGAAGCCAAATGACGCCTACTGCGGGTCTGATAGATTCAAACAAGTGAGCTACAGACCTGGGATTCAACTGCGGAGAACGATCGCCTGATTACTTCGTTACGATATTGATACCCAGCAACCACGACGAACGCTTCCGCGTTTTCTAACGCGCTTATCTACTTCGGGGGCGGAGTCGGTTTACAGCACCACTGCGGGGCCTGCAACAATACACATCTTCGTGGAATGGCTGAAATGCTTGCTTTCAAAGCGTAAGCCTCAAGCCGACGGTTCTAGTACTGTAAGGCAACGAGCGAAACAATCAAAGACAGTTAGAACTACTTGTGATCAGAGGCCGGTAGACGCCAAATCATTTTGGCGCGAAAAACCTGGTAACCATACTGCCGAACGGTTTCAATACAGAGATGATAACTAGTAATTATCACTAGTCGAACGGTCGTGTGAGACTGGAGCCAGTCACACTCATCAGAGAACGTTGTTGTATTGTTCTGCGCAAGGTTGTGACTGCTCCGTCAGTGAATGAAATCTTTGCAGACCTGCTAGATGGTGGAGGCACCCAAACCGTTTAACAGTCTGTAACCATGCAATTCCTTCAGTACTACTAGAGGGGAGTATCTTGATTCTCTTCATGTTGGACATGGCAGTGAGGTAAATAAAGGTTATGGTTGTTCGTTTACTTAGTTGAAGTAGCTCAAATGAAGAATGTACACTCGCCGCATACAAATTAGTCTGTTCATGCTTCCTTTCTGTTTGAATCACGATGTGATTATACTCGTCGATTTTACATTGTAGTTCAAGACTTGATAGAACGGAAAACGACGTCTCGGTGATTATGTTAGGATCAAGGAGCGTTCACTAAGCAAAAGCTGAAACGAGGATGTGATTTTACGTAAAACTCAGTAAACGCTGATGACAGAGAAGGTGCTTGAGGATGTCTGGCCCGCCCATAAAACAGCTGGTGCAGGTTTTCCCTGAGATGACATGCGAGGTATTCCTCTCACTAAGGCCAAACGCACAGTGGATAACCGACCCTGAATCAAGCTACATGATAATGTGGACGGTCAGGCTATTCTGGCGCCGAGTAACTTACTGGTGTTTCGTAAGGAAATGCAGAATCAATGTCGCATGTATGGTAAATTCCAAGCCATCAATGGAGTCGAGTTCAACACAACCGTGTTCTGGAAGCGAACATCAAAACAATACTTGTAGTCCTTCGCCACCTGACCTGAGTGCCAGCGGAACCAAAGGAACTACGTGAAGTATTAAAACCGTACGAGCCATGTACCGCTAGGGACAACGGAACCATAAACTTAATATTAGTGATTATAAAAAGTGAACCAGAAGCAGTAAGTTCTGCCAACTGAGGAAGCGGTAAAACAAACTCACCTTTCTCGTATTTCTGATTCACAGAAAACTACAAGGCAAAGAAAAAGGCACTAAGAAAAGCCGTTAAAGACTGTTTTAAGTAGCTAATAAAACTCGTATCAAACTAGGCTTCCAAGCCGTATTAGCTGGATGTAACTCGACAATGTACACGGTCAATTGTGGTGGAGCTCTGGGTGTTTGTGTAAAGTCCATATAACACACGGGAGTTGTCGTGTCTGACCATCGATGTCTTCGGAGCACTGCCTGAGTCTGGTGGAAACACCGGATCAGCAATGCTGAAGTACATCGAATGGTATTCGGCGGAAATAACTCACCCTCGATAGATGAACTGATCACACTCCATAGGTTGCGCTGGCTTGGCCACGTGCTGCGTATGCCAGTCGACCGACTTCCTCGGAGGGCTCTTTTCGCACAACCACATGAAGGGTGGAAACAAGCCAGAGACGGTCAAACAACGACTTGGCAGTGAAGTATAAAGGCAATTACCAGAAAACAGCTGCGCTGGTCATTGCTCTTCCTGGATAAGGACCCTGAGACGGGCCATATCAATAGTTGGAGACATTGTCAGACACGGCCCAGTCGCGCCATCAATGGAGCTCATGCATCCAAGCTATTGCCTTCAGTGAATAGCTCCCTTCCCAATTCTCCCACTTGAGAGTCCACCGACAGTGCTGTAATTACGCACTAATTTATCAGCTCCCGCCTCCAATGCGCAGCTGTCCACCCCACCTCCCCAAATCATCGGTGAACGAAACTGTGGCAGCTACAACCACTGTACGACGAGTACGCGGTTATTACAGCTGACAATGATGATGATGATGATGATGAAGACTGCTAAAACCCTACTCTTGATTGCTTTCCCCCAGGACATACAAGAGCTTTACACTAAGACCCTATGCTCTTCTCCTTTCCAATCTTTAGTGAGAGTTTATTCCTACATATTTGCATGATAGTTAGCCGTTGATTAATAGCCACCACCTTGAAGTTGTGGTTGTGCTTGAGTGTTGCAACGATCCCGCGGACTAAACTGGCCAAAACTTCGTTCTTCAAGGTTCAGTCATGCCAGTACCACCAGACGAAGAGCAGCAAGCTATCGCAACAAAGAGGCGGTCGGGAGGTAAAGTGGTACTGCCCTGAGCGAGAGGCATGCCAAGAAGTTCCTTCCGGGTGACCAACATATCCATATTTATGAAAGCATCGGTGCTGCCTCCGCCCAAGGAAAAATGAATAAGAAAGGTTCCACCCTTAGAAAACCGAACACTTCGGTTACTCACCAGTGATCGCCGATACATTATCCAGTACGGTTGAAATACTTTTACAGCCAGTCTGGTGATGCTCATAAAGCATCTGATGTATTGGCCGCATTAGGAGTCAGACAGCTATGTCTCAACCCATGCGTCCTCGAGGTAGGCGATCCTCCAACATCTAAGTGCTTCAGACTGTTGAGTCACTTGTTCCTGACAGGATTTTCCAAGAGAACCCAAACAAAACCTGTTGCCTCGCGCATCAGACAATACGTGTGGGGTCCTCCTACCTCCATCTTGAAGATCGGGCTTTGAGTCGAAATTTCGCGATATGGTGCTTCCAACCCTTGTTCCGCCTAAATAACCGGAAAGTAACACCTGGCCACAGGGCTTAACAGCTGCGGCTAGTCTCCTTAATCTTACAACACCGACTTCATTTATTACCCATGCCAATGAAAAGCCTTGTTTTTAGTTCTGCAATTCCAGCATTACTTCCTAGCCCTGTACCCACAAAAAAAACTTAGTCGTACACCATTAACTCTAAAGAACCTGGACAACGTGGCAGCGTCATATAGGTCAGATAGGTCAACAGACCCTTGCTTACAGCGCTCCCTCCTCATAAGTCTATAGATACTGCCTCCGGAACACGCATATAAGACCTTACCATGATAATGCACCCGCATAGGGTTTAGAACTGAAGTTATCGTTTGAGCAAGCCAGTCGCACAGCTATGGGAAATGCCTTTCTCTCACAGCTGTGCAGAACATTTCCGTTATCCTTCTGAAATACTCAAGCCCCAACCCCGGTATCACTCTCTGCAAACATGACGTCAGTTAGAGCTGCCCGTCGTCAATTTTTCTCTTCAACTGTGTAATCTATTTCCATGGGAAGAGCTCAAAGATTTGTAGTATGCGGACAACATTGTGCTACTGATTTCTGACTCCGTTCACAGAAAAAATACACTAAATAGTCTAAATATTTTGCCATGCGTCTTCCCAGCTTTGAAGTGTCACTCCGTATTTCAAAACTGAGCGATCGCACCAATAAATCTGGTCATGACATCAAGACCTCTAAAATAGTGGGGAATATAATTATTCGGTATATCGATTTGGATGACATTGCTGGAGGTGTGAATTCTGGGGTCGCAAGGGCCCGTTCTATTTTTATTTAGCTTAAGGCCTCCGGAGTGGACCTGGCACCAGTCTGTCGATGACGGACAACGTCTACAATGCGGCAGTGCATCCAGCGACTGGTTCGATGTTAAGCCTGGCCGGTGTGTATTGAAGACAAGAGAATATCGTCTGTCTCTGACCATCCTTTCCGTTGAAGCACTGTACACTTATCATGAGAATATCAAATTGGCTATGCTGAATTGCAGCAAGTCAGCTCGGTTATTCAACAGCGCATGACTTGGAGACGAAGCATAAAAAACACAACAAAGGGTCTTGTCCGCATTGGTGCATGTCGTAAAAAACCCAGCTGTAACACCCTGCCGGTGCCTAGTTGCCATAGTACCCGAGGGAAGTACGAGGGCTGGGACAATGCCAGGCGCATGTCGTATCCGAGGTTGAGGCATCAAAGCCTACTACATCCAGGGTTGGAAGTACTTACCGACAAGGCGAGATGCATCAGCAGCAGCAGCAGCAGCAACATCAGTGTTGGCTGGCACGCTTCACTGATGTACAACCATGAGGTTCGTCTAGTTTTATTCTGAAAGCCCCAGATTTAAC